TCATCACCACATCTATCTTTATTATCAACAGATATAAATTTATTTTCAAATGATGATACATTTTCAATGAAAAATAATGAAAATATGAATGTTTCACCAACTAATATTTCAAATACATCGTCACCTTCAAAATATCATGTACTTAATACACCAGAACGAGTATGAAAATAATATTATTTAATAATTATTATTCATTTCAAAAAAGAGGAATCGTGGGTATTTTTTTTTGTGATATAAATAATATAAAGAGCTGCGGTTTTCACTGTTACAAACAAAAGACTCAGACGCATAAATACCCGCTGAAATTTGATTGACCAGTACTTGACCAATTTTTTAGTTGGTCTTGGTGGTTAATATGATCAATGAATAGAAGAAATTGTTCTATTTCGATCTATGCAAACCCGACATTGCTAACTGGTTCCATTCAAAAATTATAAGAGTTTTCTTAAGATCTCTTCCGATTTCAGTCAATTGACCTGAGATCACCCGAAAAAGCGTCTAGACATGAATAATTCACCTAGGTGCTTTTGGATTCGAAATGATCTGTTACTGTTACCTCAATATTTATGTCTAGTTGCTTTTCCCGATGATCCCAAGTCAATTTGCTGAAATCGGTGGTGTCAAGAAAACTCATACAACTCTTAAACGGAACCAGTTAGCAATTTCGGCCTTGCGTCGTTCGAAATAGAACAATTTCATCGGATATTTATGCGCCTGACTCTTCTCTATGTAATGGTCAAAACCACAACTCTCTATCTTGTTCCTATCAAAATTTATTCAAAAAATACTCACGGCCTTTCTTTTTTGAAATAGATAACAGTATGAAATCTTGGTTATTTTTAGCCTCATTTAATTTGTTTGACACCAAGTCCAAAACGAGAGTGTTTTAAGTAAATTGAAATTATTAAATCAAATTTAATCTCTTATCATCTTTTATTTTTGTAGTGAATATCTTCTTCCATTGTCTGAATCAATTAATATCGAAAATTATTCATCAATACGTTTAAATAAATATGATTTATCAAAAAATCTTCAAGAAAAAATCGGTGTATGTAAAAAAAAAAGAAAACGATTTCTTTGAATAACTTTTGTTTATTATCTATTTAGTATAATCCAACTTATACAGAAGTCTTAATTGGTCAAACACGTGATCAACGTTATATGACTGAACAAGCTCGACGATATCTTTCTTGTTCTTCATTAAATAATTCCTAGATAGTTATGTTTCCTTTACTTAAGCATTGTGCGATTTTTTTTAGTTGAATG